TGTATACGACCACTCTTCGATGTCCCAATAGTTGGCCCTCTTTTAGCGATGAAGTCCAAGGCAACCTGCCACCAGGCATCATATCCAACAGCCACCAGCATCATCATGATCATCACTATTACCTCCTGACTCATGATCGGCATCGCCTCTTCTATACTAGGCCTCAATAAGAACATCATCTGTGTATCGGAAAAGTCATAGACGATTCTTTCAATAACCTCACGGTCCGATACGCAGCCCAGGGCTCGGAAGAGAATAACCACAGGGATGTCCGCGTTGATATACCTAATATCGTACATGGCAAGAAGCCGACCCAAGGGGAGGCCCATCCTACGGCATTGAGCAGACGATCTGTCCTCTAGCCGCACTCCTCCCTCCCAGATTGGCCAACATCTTCACCGAGAACCCACTTGTGCTGAGCATACCCTCAGCCTGGGACCGAATCTGATAATGAGACGGTCATCGACTAAATCACTAACTTCGCCCACTAGCGCTGCACTTCAGCACATGAGAACTATCATGAGGTTCACCAAGCCATATCCGTCATTCTCATCGCTCTTCAAACGTCCCGTCTAGGGATAGTATTACCTCACATATCCACGTATACTTCGCTGGCTGCTTCTTCTGGAAGCAATACACAAAGTTATTGGCCATCCTCTCCATCGCAATTAGCACTTTCTCTGACCCATTGATGATAAAGTACCTGTATGGGCCCACTACCCTGAACGCCCTGAGACCCCCACACACTACCCTCCCTGATCGAACACGCACTCTCCCATCTCGACCAAGCCTCGCTCCGTCTGGTTCTTAAGCCAACAGTACTCCGACTTTAGCATCATCGGTATCCGCCCAATGAGAATTTTACTGTACGAGTCCTCGGATATCTACCAACACACTGGTCCAAAGGGAGCAATGGTGTTCACACAACCAAGTGGACCCAAGAACACTACCAGTTGCTTCTCAGAGTTCGGATCATCCGGATCCGCTAAGGCGTAGGTTGTCTGCGTTAC